AATCTTTAGTTTAAGGTAGTAAAAATTATAAAATTATAACTAGGTAAGGTAAAGGCTTATCTTACGATTTTATCCTTATCCTATAATTTTATTGCCTACTCTATAAGTAAGGCTCCCTTTTAGTTAGATCCACGGGTATATATATAACAAACCGATGCCTAAGTTACTTTATTCCAATTTCGCTTCCTTTAAAAAATTGCATCCACAAACAACCTATGATTGCGTGACACATCGCTAACCAAAACGAGTTAGGAAGGCATTTACTCTTTCAATCTGTGAGATCGTTAAGAAATTCTGTCAACAGGCCTTACCTCCGGATCCTCTAGTGCGCCACCCCCAAGTGCTCCTTGTAGACCGCTTTTGGTAGCCTCTCTGCCATGTATTGTCTCATTTCTGGTGAAGTATTCTCGTCTGCAGACCCATACTACACTCACTCTGATACCCTCGTACTCGATGTGCTCCAGGTGGAAACCCGAAGGTTCAGTGTTGAGCTTCATCTCGAGGTCATGAACTGCTCCTCCTTAGGCATAGGTTTGTCTGAAAGCCCTGACAGCGGACTGGAAAGCGCTTGGTTTCTCCAGAACTTCTCCATCTTCTACTCTAAGAACAATAACCTGTTCTCTCCAGACTGCTTCCATTTTGATTGGGTCGGGATCCTGTGCCGCAGCAAGAAAGATATATATTACTGGATTTTCTATAGGATTACCAAACTTATAATAGCCAAGACGCCGACCATCAGGGAGGTCAATAACATGGCCTGCTGCTGTCGACATGGGCCTGCATCGTGTGCTCGAGTGTCTGCTTTGCCGTTGATCGAACGGGTTTACTAATGACGCGTTTGGTCGCAAGCGACAAGAATTGGCAAGAATGTGTCCCCGATAAGAATCTCTTCATCACGTCGGTATTGAAGAATTTACGATCCGCCAACTTGGGCGAGCTCATACTTTTACGGGACAGGATCGACACACGGCGGTAATACTGACCCGACATATTTCGCTGCTCATTAGCGAGAGTTGCTTGTCTTTAACCCTGTTGTTGATCCATGGGATCACATTGCGTCTTTCTGGATGCATAAGTCAAGTTCAAAGATCCGGGTCAAGTGTCTTGCTGACATGGCATAGCGATAGCAGTAGACACTGAGTAAGACGCTTAGTGGACGGATCTGTTCAGGCTTCCGCGAACAACCGAATCATGAGATCAAAATCGGTCATGATGCATAGCATCAATCAGGTTTACTGAGCGAGCTTCGGAAAGTTGCATTAAAATTCAAGCTGCGGCTCATCATGGACGACAGCAATGCATAAAGAAAGTGGTTATCATGGAAATGATTTAGAAAGCTAAAGAACGGACGGCAGAACCCTCATACTGATCTCATGACTCAATTTGAATACACTTATATACTCCCAAAAGAACAATCAAGAGTCAGTTCAAGCCATTTATCGAGCAGGAAGGTCCTTCTTCAGAACCTCGACATCGAAGTGCGAAAGCACAGTAGACAGCAAGTTACTGTTATCAGCCCCTTCTATCGTCTCTAGATGCTTGTCTCGATTGACGACACCCATGACAGCGTGCCAATTGGAAATATTAACATCCATATAAGGAGGGAGGTCGACGAAGGGATTTCCACGTTCATCCTTCCCCAGAATGTCTCTGGCATGCTTCAGCTCGGGAACCAGAGTCATATTGGTACCCATCCAGGAGTGAAGTCCATGGACGACACTCTCAAGGGCACCAACGACCCAAGCATGGTGAGGGCTTGAGGCTTCACCGGCAATGATGACATCACCCGATGGCTGGATTACTCTGTTCCACATGGAGCTGAATTGCTGGGGTCTGAAGAACGCGAAAGCTCCAGCAGTGTTGGGGTCTTCAGTCCAGCTGTAGGCATGATGATCAACATAGCTCTTTTTGATGAGATTGTATAGATCCTTTTCACTGGTCTGCTTGTTTGTATGCAAGATAGCCAGATCTCGGAGAAGCAATTCTTTGAGGGCTTGCTCCTCGGCGACCTTCTCCTCGTGGTCTTTGTTTGTCGACATGAGACATCCAAGACGATCGGAGTCCTGCTGCCAAGTGTAAGAACACAGAAGAACCGCTGTCTTGGTCTTTGCATCATAGATATTGTAAGAGGGGTAGACGCAAGTTCGTAGGGCGAGGTCGGAGTGGCCTAGACCTGCCTCACGAACGTTGAAGTCCTTGAGATCGTGGATCCACCATGCATGGCTAAACTTGATCGCCACTTTGCAGGACTGACCATAGCCTAAAGAGCGAATGGCTTGCTTGACAGGATATCTCAGGCCAGCTTGACGAGTGTCCATGCGACCAAGACATCCGAGGGTAGTAGTGGCCACGACGGCGTCGTAATGGCGAAACTCAGATCGTTTACCATTCACAATATCGAGCCTCACGTCCATCTTACCAACGGTGCGAATAGCAGCGACTGGGTTGTGATAACTGGGTTTGCTAGCAATTCTCTCTTCCATCTTCTTTGCGAGCTGTTGGGCGCCGCCGAGCACGCAGAACCACTTGGTCTCAGGGCTGAACTCGAAGTCAAGGGACTCAAGGACAGTCTCACTGTGAGCTTGGTCATACCAGTCCGTCCCTCTGCAAGCTGTTAGTATCAAGTAGTCTTCATAGTCGGAGTAACTCACCCGTTAAAGGTCTCAAGCCACTCAATGGTCTCATAGTTGTATGGAGGTGGAGGGATATCCTTGGGTAGTTTTACTTTCGGGTTCGCACTGGATGAATCAGCCTTTGAGGGAAGAGAGCAGCATCAGAAAGTACTTACGTGCCCAAGAATTGTCGAGTGCTGTATGTATCGTATTCCATTAGCATCTTCCAGCCTTTGTCACCAGGAGGAGTCTTCTCGGCATCTTCTTTCAGCGCCTGACGAAGTGGCTCGATGTTGGCCTTTACAACCTCATCTGGTCCAACTTTGAGAAGTCTGAGAAATATTTAGAATGGGCCCGATACCTAACTGTTCATCATTAATGAGGCAACTTACCTAGGGTCGATACTTCCATCGGTATTAACTTGAAACGGGTCAACACTGCCAGCAGCTGTCTGAACACTCTGATAAGAAGCGCCCCAAACGTTGATGTCGTTGTAGCACCAGGGGTTAGTGTTGGGTGCGTTAGGTGACATGTAGTATGGAATAAGAGAACCATCCTTTGCGTTGGGGTTCGTCTTTAGGTCCGTCTTTTCCATACCGAGCCTGCCAAAGAGCTCGAATGTGCTGGGCAGTGTAAGCCATCAAGTGACGTGTAGCAGAAGGAACTGACTTACCGCTTCATGACAGGGTTGTCGGGGAATCGCATCGCGCCAACATCATAATAGTCATGAGTATCACGTTGGCCACCAAAATTGTAAGTGAATAAGCGACCTCCGACTCGATCTGGTCCTGCCGCCTCGTGGATCTCATAGTCGAAAGAGAGAGGGATTGAGCCCTTCTTCAGTTCGCTATTGAGATAGTCCAAGACCAAACCTGTGAACAAGCCAGCTGCTCCAGCACCGATGACACCGATCCTGATGACCCGAGGCTTTTGAGCTTCATGATCGTGAGGAGCGGATATCTGAGGGGCAGGGGCACGAGGGAGCTTAGAGGTCTTGGGGATACGAGGAAGGGAACCTAACTCGGAGGAATCATCGCTGTTATCAAGAAGAGCGTTCCAATCCTGTCGAATGGCTCTGTTGATGTGCTGACGAGCCCATTGATTTCTGATGGACAAGTCTGAGTTCAGATCAAGAACAGACATGATGATAATTGAGGCTATAAGATATGGGCTCTGGGTATCGTTTGGGCAAATATGCACTGAGGACTTGCAAAAGAACTATGAAGAGCTGAAGGATGTGAGATATAGAGCGTGGCCAGTACGAGGGCACTACAAGTTAATCCTCATTTCAATCTGAATACATCATCCGCCTCCATTCCTAGAATCTCAGCTATCCACACAATGGTGTCTACGGATGTGTCTACGAATGGGGAGATTTCATTGACACAGGTTCACATATGGGGCGCAACCACCACATGGTGAGCCGTGTTCAGCTTGACGCAGAAAAGCAATACTGCAACGCTGACAACTGCGCAAGGCGACCACGAGTGCTTCGTCCTCCAATTACTTTTGAGCGGTCGGAAAATTTCAGTATTAACGAAACCTAAGTCCCAAGCCACATCTCCGCATTTAGATGCAATGTACCCCATAGAGTTCAAGTCTGACTCTTTTCTTTAGCTGAAGACCCCGTCCGGGCTTAGGAATGTGACGGCTGGCCCGCGTTGCAGCAACGGGACAAACGGAAAAGGCGGGGGTGGCACAAGCCATAAGAAACGATCAACGACACTACCGGACCCGGTGAATGATGATCACTGACGGGAATGTGACTTGGACTTGGACGTCTCAGTCATGTATAGCTTCGGTGGCGCCTGGGCAGGACGTTTACCCCTCTTGCTTGAGCCTAGGGTGTGGATATATCTGGCCTCATTCTGGCGCATGTGTTTTTGAACGGATAGGCCAAGAGACATGAACTGACATGTCATATTGTACTCTCGGTGATGGAGTAGGTACGCACTACCAGAGAACTGTGATAATGGTCTGCTTTTGTCACCGCTGGGAAAAATGCAAATTTATGGATTTACTCATGCCATCAGGCCAAGATGAAGGTAACTTGTCAAGACATAGGATGTTGTATTAGAGCTCGAGTTTAAACTCGCTATTCGTTGAGCCTAAAAGCCGTAGGGAGCCTGTAGTAACACTACCTATCCTTCATAGACATTCTAAACTACCTAGGCCATAATGGTATGTCACTATCTAGTGAGATACAAGAACTTGAGACAGCTTGTGACGGATGGTTGGCGCCAAAGTTCCAACTGTCACGTGGGGCCATGACAGACCATTGAAGTCAAGTGCGACGTTCTGGGAGTACTGAATCTGAATGTACTCAATGTTGACTGTCTTGGGAGTAGGAACGTCAATGTCGACCAGGAACCTGGGGACGGCATCACGTGGGCCGTGAGAGGCAGGAGAAACAGTCTTCTTGTCTGAGCTGTGGCAAGCAGGAATGTTGATCTGGGTTCGAACTCTGGAGAGCCAGTACTGGACCGTGACTCTGACGGCATTCGCGTTGCCGCTTCGGGCTGCGACTGAAGCAGAGGTGACACCAGCGTCGGCACCGATGAGGAAACCAATGTTGCTGGTGCCACCGCCGAGGTTGGGGTTCTGAGCCTCTGAGGATATCTCAAAGGTTGTGTTATCAATGATGTTCTTTCCGATGTTGGCGTTGCGGAGAACAGTGTTGGGATCAGTCAAGATAGCCTGCGTGATAGTGCCGGCCTTGTCAAAGCTTGAAAGATCCTGGGGAAGACGGTGGGTGTTCTTGTTGGTGAGAGTCTGACTTCTGAACGGAATCTTCTGACCGTTGGCAATAAGAATAGGGGTGATGTCTACTGGCGAGAAGACAGGGGCGCCCTTGGCAGTAATAGTCGCCGTGAAAGACTGGGCGTTGATGGAAGTTCCGTGAGGGATGGAAGCCATGCGGGACAGAGACGCTGCAAGAACAGGCATCTGCTCACTGGCGGGTACGTGCATCCACAGACCAGGCTCAAAGTGGATGACGGGCTGCTTCTTGGGAGGCGTCACCATCTCGGTGATATCAGCAATTGTCTGTGTGTACGGCACACCGTTGAGCATGATATCAGCCTGAGTGTCAAGACCACGGTTAGGGACATCATCCAAACGTCCTTTAGCAAAGGCTAGGGACTCTGAGGTAAGGTTGAGCTGGAGGATGTTGTCGTTGGGATCCTCGGATGGAGGTAGAATGGGGAGAGGTGTTGGAGTAGTTGTTCTTCTCTCAGTTAGCTTTCTTTATTTCTAGTTCTTGATGGTATAGCTCACCCGTTGGGACGGAAAATAGTGTTGAAGCCGAATCCGCTGTATGTTCCAAAGAAATGTGCCAGAACATCGAGCTGGGACATGGCAACATCACCACCAGCGGGGTCAACACTGGGGAAGCCATTGATGGGGACAAGGTTCTCTTGGTCCTCTGGCTGAATAGGGTCAAGAACGGTAGGACCGAATTTGAAGTCGTCACCCAAATCCATGGGGACAACAGGAGCAGTAGGGAGTATCATTGTGTTGGTCTTGGTGGTGTTGCAAGAGAATGGTGTTGACAGATTTGCTGACTTACGAAGGGCATTCTAGATGACCTTGATATTATATATCTTCTCTACGTAGTATGAGCTTGGGTCATTATCAGCCTTAAGAGAGGGGCTTCCCTCCATCGACGAGCGGCTGAGGTTGAAAGGGTCTGGAGCTTACTCCTTGCTGACCAGTAACAAGACACGCGTTATAATCCAAAAGAACTTTAGCATGATTGGCTCTCAATCATCGTTCGGTCAAATAGCAAGCACGGCATCGCCATCACAAGGGATAATCTCAAACCTACTCATCCGTCTCTTGACGGACGTCGCATTCCTCGTTCTTCATTCCCAAGTACCGGGCCGTACCTAGCCTTCTAAACCCATCTGTAAGCCAACCAATGGGCACTAAATCATTTTAGCTACAGACCCAAATCTCACTACCCTGAAAGGAATGCGCATGGTCTAGACCGGTACGTGCGGTAGCCCTAAACCTCAACAAATGCACAGTTTGAGAAAAGCTGAACTCTGTGGCTCGAGCTATTGATCAGCCATCACTAGAATACAGGAGTTTTCAGACCGTTTGTTCTCCCTTGCGTAAGCCACCTGGAGCGGCACAGTTCTGCCGTGCGTGAGCAAGCACCGTTTAGTGTGCATAGCTTGTTACTTCATTCAGTGAGCCGTCGTTTTTAGAGGCCGCTTATTGCAGAGTAGTTGAACGTTATTCTCCAAAGAGAAATCCCTCGAACTTTAATTGCATTTCCAAGGGATAGTCTCAGAATTTGTCATTTACCGTTAATGTCTCACCTTTCTTTCGGCCACTCAATCACCATATTATCGCCATGTTTCTGTTTCCCCTCCCCTCATCCAGCCTCCTGCAGTGCATGCTGACAACCGTGCTGCAAACGGTACTGGACGCGCGCAATATTCTCGCGATCTCCGTCCCGCCTGTCACAACCTTGGCGTCAAGAGTGCGACTGAGCTTACGTATGTCTCAGGCAAGCCATGACCTCCGCAAACAGTCCCGAAGTGTCTCTTTCCCCCGCACTGGCGCAGAGCTATCCGTAAAATGTCGGAAGTCGGACCTCGTGGTAGGTTGAAACGTGCCTAAAAAGTGGCTGGCTGAATACGGTTCTGCTATCAAAGACTATTGCTGATTGGCGTACAAAGGTGTTGTACTACCGACCAATCTTACACGCATGTGCAGTACAGTAAGTCTTACGTGTACCTACGTCGTGTACGTGAAATTGCAGTCAGAATTCACATGATCCTCACGCTACAAGTGCCGGTGTCTCACAGTATCACTCTAGTGAAAGACAAAAACCTGGTTAGAGGATTTACTTGTAACATCAGTTCAATAGCTCCATTGGCTGCCTATTCAGACATGATCCCTGGTACCAAGTTCAGCCGCATCCCCAACCATTGCAGCCACTACGCATGTCTCAGGCTTGTGAGGAATGATAGACCGCCAATCTCTAGTGCGAACTGTCCGCACATGTGCTCAATAAGTCGAAAGCCAGTGTGATCAGCCCTGGCTGTTTTTCTCAGCGGCCAGCATCGCCACTCTTGGATCTTGGTGGGCAAGAAGAATATAAGGGACGCCTAAAGCCACAATTCTTCTGCCAATCACCACAAACTCAACACTCATCACATTCATCATGTTCAAGATTAAAGATTTCCAGGGGATGCAATACTCCCGAGACACTTCTTCTCAATTTGGCCAAAAAGATTACAAGTTCTTCAACCAGCAATATGCTACCACCTCCTACCAGACAGAGCATGACATGAACCCCGCTCTCATTGTGCAGCCCAAGGAAGATGAAGATGTCATCAAGGCTGTTCAATGGGCGAGGGACAACAAGGTCAGCGTCGCTGTCAGGTCGGGCGGCCATCAGTACTCTGGCGCCTCTTCTACCGGTGGCAAGAACATCCAGATTGATCTCACCAACACTTACAAGGACATGATGGTCCTGGAAGAAGACGGAGTTCTCGATGACAGAGCTCTGGTGCTGGCTGGTGTGAGTAACAGACTGCAAGACTTTAACGACTACCTTCGTTCAGTCAACCTATTCGTGCCGCACGGACAATGTGCCTAGTGAGTCTACTATACTAGCCACTGCGAACTAACGAAGCTAATCCCCCTCAGCGTCTGCACGGGTGGTCACGGTCAAACTGGTGGCTATGGTCAACTCGGTCGCAGTTTTGGTCTTTTTGGCGACCACATTATCAAGATTCGTCTGATTGACCACGATGGCTCCATTCAGAACGTCACCAAGCAGAGTGACTCTGAGCTCTTCTATGCCATTCTCGGTGGCAGCCCGGGCAACTTCGGCATTATTACTCATTACACTGTTGAGGTTTATCGCGCTTCCAGCTACATGGGAACCGTCGCTGGTCCTAATGGCTTCAAGGTATGACTAGCTGCCGCTTTCTGTGAAACTACGCTAACTGTCTCAGGGACCTCACGGTTTGAAGGGTCTGTGGATCTATGAGCCCAAGGTACTTAGCCGTCTACTCGGCTTCATCGCCAAGATGTCTGACGAGGGTACTGCCCCACGAGGCTACGACCTCTGCTGCAGTGTTCTCAGCACAGACTTCCCCGTTACCATGCTGTTCCCTTCGCTC